AATATATATAATAATAAAATTATAGAAAATAATATATATAATAAAATTATTATAATTCTTAATTTTTTAAATATCAAATAAAAAATATTTATATATATAATTTTTTATTTTTATAAAATATTTTTTCTCAAAATCGAGCTTAAGCCGAACCGAGCTTGAGCTTATGAATTTTCGACTCAAGCCAAGCTCGAGCTCAAGGTTTTGGCTCAAGCCAAGCTCGAGCCTCGTACTATTCGGCTCGGCTCAGCTCGAATCCACCCCTATTAGTGGCATACAATATGATATCCAAATCTGATTCCAACTTCAGTCTGAGTCCTATGGACAATATTTGATTCAAATCTGAATGTTAATAGATCAAATTTGGATCTAGGTATATCCTATCCATTTTCATTTGCGATCCTATTTCTGAGAAGTTTCTCATAGGCAATGTTGAACACACTATCATAACAACACACTTAGATCTTCATGTAACATTTTGAGGCCCCTTTTGGTTTACGGGAATAGGGGTCTGGAATTGGAATAGGAATGAGCTATTTTGATTCCAACTGTTTGGTTGGGCAGAATGGGAATCTCATTTCCATTCCTACTAAAACGACATTCCCCCATTTCAGGGAATGGCCATTCCCTGCCCCTCCCTTGGGAATGAAATCCTATTCCTGTTTATTCTAATTCCCATTTCCATTCCTATCTGAACCAAATAGACTATGGGAATGGACCATTCTGAATGCCAAATGCAGCCTTAGCAAACCGAAAATTTTGTGTTGTTTTGTTGTTTTAGTATATTCAGGAATAATTTTTCTGGGGTTTTGTTTATGCACGAGGGTGATTGATACGGAGCACGATAAAGGTCTTTCCCACCTAATAATCAACCTGACTGAATTGAAAAGGCTTTCTTATAGGACCTCATCCTGCTTACATCTTAGGGTCCATTTGGTTTGCAGTTGGAATTGGAATCCAAACCCTTTGAAATTGGAATCGGAATGGTCTATTCTCATAGTCTGTTTGGTTCAGACAGGAATGAGAATGTGAATTGAAATCGGCGGAAATGACATTTCATTCCCAAGAGAGGGGTAGGGAATGGCTGTTCCCTCAAATGGGGAAATGCCATTCCAGCAGAGGTGGGAACGAGATTCCTATTCCACCCAACCAAACGGTTGGAATCGGAATAGCCAATTCTGATATCGATTCTAAACCCCTATTCCTGCAAACCAAACGGAGCCTTACATTCACCACACCGCTCCATTCCTTGGATTGGCCATCATTATTTCTTATAGGACGCTCATCTTTCTTGCTCAGCTAAAAAATCCATGCACGACAGTTTACCTCATCCATGCTACTGTTATTGTTCATCTATGCTGTTGCAGAAAATCCCTCCCATCCCAACATTTTTTTACTTGACATCCTGGTTTGGTTCCTTTGCTGTTCATGATCTCTGTTTTCTTTTTTCTTTACATTTTCTTTTGTTTGGTAATCAAACGAAATCCATTAGATTAATCCAGAATGATAAACCTTCCCACTTTGGTCTTTTGCAGCAGTTTTATCCCGGTTCACTGGACTTCAATTACCAACACGAACTTGGCAGGAAAATTTCACTGAAACCCACTTAACAAATTTTTATTATTATATTATAAATATATAATATAAATATACCCATCAGTTTGGTTAATGGTTGGTTCTTTTATAGGTTAATTGAAAATCGAATTGGTATCTTTGATTTTTAAAAATACCGAGTCAACCAATTCGGTGAACTGGAATTTTCAGTTTGATTTCTTGATTTTGGTTTGGTTTTTCAGTTTTTTGTGAGCACCCCTAGGTGCAAGTCCAGCTGAGTGGTTTCCAAAGCCAATTCCATCTTTTTAAAATCTGTTTCTATTTACATTTCTGGTTGGACCTGGCCTGAACACCAATGATCAATTACTCTAATTTATGATTATCACATGTGGGCCTTGATGCAACGGTTGGGTTGTTCCTAATGGACCTAATCCTGCTCTAGGAAGTAGCTTCTTCATAGATAAACATGTTTTTTTATTACATGAAGACCTTAACACCATCTCATCAAGGAGAAGCAAGGCTCTGCCTCGAGAATGCCAAATTTTGTATTGTAAGGGTTCCGGAACTGTGTTACCCATTGTGAATACAATGGAAAAAGAGTTTGTAAAACCACTTCAAACAATTTTAAATAGAAGAATAATATAAAGGAATGTCAGTTACAGGAAGGTAAAACAAAAAGATAATGGTGTCCCCCCATTGTAAAACCTCTCAGTTCATCAAAGAATTGTATTGATCATGGTAAAAGAGAAATACATAAGGTACCAAAGTGAGGAATATAAAAGCAAATTACATGTCCAAACATTAGTATATCAACATACCTGATTCCTGATTGTGAGCTCCGAGAAGCTTATGGTCAGCTCAAAGAAATGGAGTCGCCACTCATATTTTAGAAGAAATAGACCCTCATTTTTAGATTCAGAAATTGACATACTTGCTTGGATAGTGACTTTGTTTTTCGCTAGGAAAGGTACCTAACCGAGAGATTTTGGATCCCAAGAATTAGGAGAGGGAAGGTGTTAGGCACTCCTCTCTCTAAGCTGTTGGAGCAGCCCAATATGGGAGTTGGTTAGGTTCTATATTTAACAAAACACCAATAAAAAGGATTGCTCAGAGCTCCAAAAATCAGGTAAAAATGCTCCTAACCTTACCCATAATTGATTTGAGGTGATATTATCGGGTCTTAGATACTGATTTCCCTAAGACCCTCACCTCTCTTCCTCATTTTCTCAATTTGGATGAAACTAGGAATGCAAGTTTCCCATGGTTTCTGGACCTCAAGAAACCTAGAACTAAGCTGAAATTAGAGGCTTATGAGTTCAAACTTAGAAAAAAAGCGATGGAATGAGAAATTTACCTCTCGTGTATAA